ATGTAAACTACTAAAAAATAAAGGGAAAGTTTAAAAAAAGATTTGACAAGGCAGGGAAATTGTTTCTGTCATTTAAATTAAGATGGTTAAAAGAAGCATTTTTCTTCTGCATAGTACAATTTCAAAGTTGTATTAAGTCAATGTTCTGTTGTAAACTTTTAAAAGAACCACCATAATGTTTTGTTCAGAGTTTGTTCAGAACACTTCAGAGTTACAAACAATCTCTATTCCCGAGGTGTTTGTAACTCTAAGGTTCTATTGTATTCTGAAGTCCAATTCAAAGGGAGTTGAGGGTGCTCAACACTTTGTAGCATTGCATGCTTGGTATGTTACTGTTTTATGAATAAAGGTCAACATCTCACGTATCAGTTTTCCAGTGATGTTTGCAAATATTTTCTGAAGCTTTTTGGATCACAGAAGCAAAGCTTCTAATATTCTCTAATATACAATTCTAAAAGAAGAAAAGTAGCAGTAAGTTTTGTCTCTTAGTAAAAAGTAGGGGCCAAATGGAAGCTGAAAACATCCATGTTTTTAACACATATCTACCAAAAATATGTGTTAAAAGCACTTTCCTAAGCACTTTAATACTGAACAATTCAAGGCTCAAAGGACAAGAAATTAAAATTATACGAAGGACTAAAATAACCGATTTGTTTTTGCTAAATAAAATGTATGTATTAAATACAGCAAATTGAATGAAATAGATTAAAAGTAAGAAAATATTGACATCACAAATATTTTTGGCACCATCTACGTAATATATTTAATTAATCCTTTCCAAAACAGACAAACTATGGTCTCATGGTAAAAGGCTCAACATTCTCACTGGCATGCTATTACGGAAACTAGAACTGATGTATATAGTTCAGTCCCTTACACCCAGATATGTACCATACACCATCTTTGACTTAGTTCCAAATATTTATGAAAATATGATCAATTTAAAAAAACAAAAATTGTTTCAGCAGTTGAGGGAAACACATCTAAATTGTAAGAAAATGACATGAACTTGATGGCCCAATTTTATTCACAAAGCTGATTTGAAAGCAATAAGATGTATCTTAAAATATAACACTCTGATACTGTATCATCTTATTAGTGCAACCAACTATAGAAATATATGCCCTGAATTAGAGTTTCATAAATTTGACAGTCAGTAAAACCTTAAAATTTATCATGAATGGACACAATTAACTATCTTTTAGGTCTTCATTATTAAAAAAACGCCAAGCAACCTCCATAACACAAGTTCTTCCAAGTATCACTGCCTTTCTGACTCTGATGTAAACTTTAATTAATTATGCATTTCTGTACCAATTAAAATCACTTTGGAAATGATAAATTAAAGGTATAATGCAACATTTTAGAGCTACACAGTGAAGAATAAACGGCAATGGGCCAGTTCCATCCCTACTGTAACTCCATCAACTATAATTGTTTTGCATTAGGGATTTATTTATTCCCGTATTTTTATTTATTTTCAGAATGGCTTGAAACCATTATGTATATGTGTTCTTAGGATTCAACATTTAAACAAGGCTGAAATTTTATTCTGAACAACCATTACCCTAAAAAGAGACTACATTCTTCGTAGCTACAGTATTTGTTTTATATTCAACTAAGGTTTGCAAAATATACAATACCCATTAAAATTCTTATAAGGATAAGAAGGCCAAGTCCTTTTTGCCTTACTCACAATGAATAGTTTACTGATCTCCATAAAACTCTTCATGTAAGGAAGGCAAACTGTCATGGCCCAGAATCTACAGATGGAAGAGACCTCCTTGTAATCATCTAGTCCATCTCCCTGACAATGCAGGTCTCATTCTTATTGTTACATTTAACAGTGTCTTCTCCAACCTAGATTTAAAATGTCATTACCCTAGTTGTACCAACTTTAATTATACTAAACAAATTCTCTCTCTCTGGTGTTTAAACCTTTCAAATATTTTCTCTTTCTCTCTCTGGATAATTATAGAATTTGAAGGTTGAGAATGCAGGCACGTTCATCCCAGCCCTGCTAAAGAAAGGAATCAGTCTTGCAGTGAGTGGAGAAGTCTCATTGTGCTGGTATCAAAATCAGATGGGACAATGCGCTTCTGTATTGATTTCAGAAATGTAAATGCAATAACGAGATTTGACACCTACCCTATGCCCAGGGTGGATGAATTACTAGAAAGGCTGGGAGCTGCCAAATACATCTCTGCCCTAGACCTCACAAAGGGGTATTGAGAGATCTCTGACCTCGGAATCACAGGAAAAGACAGCTATATCCATCCCATTCAGTCAATACCAATTTCGCACTATGCCATTCTGCCTCCACGGGGTAGCATCTACTTTTCAAAAACTCAAGGACCAAGTGCTGTGACTTCACAGACAATATGCTCAGCCTATATAGATAACATGATTTACAACCATAATTGGGACAATCACCTATGACATGTCACTTCTATCCTATGGTCTTTCAAGAGTGCAGGACTAACTGCAAAGATAGCCAACAGTAAGATGGCGAACTAGGAAGTTACATACCTCAGTTATAACACAGGGAGGGGCAAGTTACAATCACTAATTGGCATAGTACAGATCTTAGCTACCTGCCCCATCCCGATGACAAATAAACAGATACAACACTTTCTGAGCCTACCAGGAAACTATAGAAGATTCATACCAGATTTTGCCCTGATTGTAGCATGTCTCATAGACCTCATGAAGGACACCAAGCCTAACAAAATCATTTGGTCAGAGGCCTGTGACAGGGCATTTAGGACTCTAAAAGATCGTCTGTGCCAGGAGCCGGTACTTCTCCAATCAGACTTTTCCAAAAAGTTCTCACTACAAACAGACAGCTCTAATGTAAGACTGGGTGTAGTTCTTTCCCAGGCAGTTGAGGGAGAATACCTGGTCCTCCATATACACAGAAAACTGTTTCCGCAGGAGGTGGCCTGTTCAGTCATAGAAAAGGAAGCTTTAGCTGTGAAATGGGTTGTAGACTAGGCCCTAAGACAGCATTTGTTGGGAAATCCAGTCTCACTAGTAACAGATCATTGCCCCTCTTCACTGGTTAAACTCCATAAAGTATGCCAACCCCAGAATTATACAGTGGTACCTTTCCTTACAGTCATACAGTTTTCAGGTATTTCACTGAGCTCGGAAGGCCCACCAAAATGTAGATTCCCACTGCCCCCTCGCCCCCGAGAGGGTGGGGACCTGGGTCTGGAGGATATGAATCCAGTTCCTGTTTTGAGGGGAAGGGTATGGGATGTGGTATACAAACTCCACACTAAATAACAAGGGGTTAAGGAGCAACTTTGGTACCAGATGGCCCTGCCCTTCCACACTTATAAAGCAAACTGGAGATGGACTTTCAAAAGGGAAGCAGAGCAGCTCAGAAGGGGACAGGCAGTGTAAGAGGGCAGACCTCTGCTCTCAGTTCTGCAGAACTACTGCCCAGGAGCTCACATTGGCTGATGCCTAGCAATGCAGACCCGACAGAGCCTGCAAAGGAGAGACTGGAGTCTGTCCCCCCCTTACAGATGTATTCACAGGAGTGCTGTAAGTAAGTAATTCTTCCAGTTTACTTAGCATTGATAAAGCTTCAACTGGAGTACTGTGTCCAGTTTTAGGCACCACACTTCGGGAAAGGTGTGGACAAACTGGAGAAAATCCAAAGGAGAGAAAAAAAAAGATTAAAGGTCTAGAAAACATGACCAACAAAGAACGATAGAAAAAACTGGACTTGTTTAGTCTGAAGAAGAAATGAGTGAAGGGGGACATGATAACAGTCTTCAAGTACATAAAAGGTTGTTATAAAGTGGAGGGCGGTAAATTATTCTCCTTATTGTCTGAGGACAGGGCAAGAAGTAATGGGCTTAAATAGCAGCAATAGAGATTTTGGTTAAACATTAGGTAAAATTTCCTAACTGTAAGGCTATTTAAGCATTGGAATAAATTACCTAGGGAGGCTATGGAATCTCTCTGTGATTGGAGGTTTTTAAAAATAGGTTAGACAACCATCAGGAATGGTCTAGGTAATACTTAGTTCTGCCTCAATGCAGGGACTGGATGAGATGCCCTATTGAGTCCTATTCCTTCCAGTGCTATATTTCTATGATTCTATGCGGCAGAGTGGAGGAGGAGCAATGGACTTGATACAGAGCACTGTAAAAGAGCCTCTTTGAGGAGAAAAGCCCCAGCAAACTCTTCCTCAGGGTGGGAAAGCAAAAGAAAAAGGGTTTAAACCCCAATTTTTATATTGCTTGTTCATTCACTATACAAATTGCTGCCTTATTAAGGGCATATTTGCTTTTGTCTTTTTGGTACCTAGAGTCTCTGGCGTTTGCAATATTTACCCCTTAGCAGGCTGTGAGGGGTTCTCATCTCTATGGTCTTGTTCCTGGTCAAGCCTTCCATAAGGGGTCATGGCTTGGAGCTGAGCCTGGGGCTGAGGCTTCAGCACACCTGTCTGACCCAAAGCCCCATTCCCTGGCAGAGCGAGGGTCGGTAACTTGTTGGAGTAAGGCATAGCTTGCCCTTGAAAGTTCCTGAAAAGCTGCCCATAATACTTCTTGGCCTTGACTCATGCCTGCAGGGCTTCTCTGCTGACAGAGTAGAGGGTAGTGTGATCATACTGTACTGGAGTAGGCAGAGGGTGAGAGACATTCATTCTTCACCTTAGGAAAGTGAGAGAGGAGCTAAAAGCTGAAATCAAGTCACTACTGCAAGAAAACAAATAAAAATATAAATTATACAACAAAATGGTAAGGCGAAACAAAACCGCCAGCATTGTTGGAGGCAGAAGATATAGTGGTCTGACCTGAGTCCTGAAGCCTCCAACAACAGCACTAGAACACCTTCAAATTCTACAAGTGGGATGTGATACCCATTAGTGATGAATGCAGACAGAAGCTGTATAGCAGAAAAACTACAGGTTATAGTTTCTCTAAAAGGAAATGTCATAAATGCTCTGGATTTATTCTGTTCTATCAGCATATGGTACTTACTTTAGACAGGTCTTTGACAGTCTCGGTTTTTCCTGTACCAGCTGGACCAGCAGGACAGCCTCCTAGATTCAAGTGTAGTGCTCCAGTAAGGGTTAACCAACATCGGTCGGTGAGCGGTGTAATAACCAATCGAGAGGAACAGCCCAAGTACTCATAGCCATAAATAAAGGAGGCATTACCTTGAACTACCCTACATGTGGTGTTCATTTCATTCCATTCATAACGCAACTGCCTGAAATAATATTTGTGTATCAGAATCTTGTAAAATGAATGACAAAGGAACTAACATCAAACTATTCACTGTATGGAAAATACATGTATTTTTTAAATGAAGGGATAAATTAGATAGAGTTGAAGGTGCAGAAAGAGTCAAACAAAAAATAATAATCATAAATAGGAGAACATTTAGAAACCAAAGCTAATTACATTATGTACTGAAAATAAAGCATCACTTTATCATAATGACATGGAATACTGACTATATGAGTAAAAATACCACAAACTCTGAGGACTTGTCTACACGGTCAATTAATACATAGCAAACTAGGGTTTTAATGTACAGCACACTAGCTTGCCGGGTACTACTGGGTCTTGTGGATCCTGCTACCACAAACTAAAAGTTTTGTAATGCACTTTGACATACTGCTGTTTGAAACATTGGGGTCTTCATCCAATCTCAATGTTGTCCCCACACCTGGTTCCTTGCCCAAGTCTCTTTGCTTAGCCAGTCCCAGTCTCCTCCCTCACCCTGACTCCTCATGTGCTCTCTAGTCAGTCCCTTCCCATTTCCCTCCCTGACTTCCAGTCCCAATCTACTCCCCCCCCCCACCTGCCTATCCAGCTCTTGTCTCCTCTGCGTTAAAACCAGGCAGCTTCCTTCTACATGCTCCATGGGCCCAGCAGGGGGAAGAGGGCACTGACAGCACAGGAGAGAGACTGGCTTCTTTCTCTCAGTTCTGATGCCTGGCCACAACCTATCCAGCAGCAACCCAGAGCTACAATGGCCAGGAAAGTTCTGCTAAGCCCCAAACTGGAACATGTCCAATATGGACAGAATATTTGGGGAATTTAGTTGAAAGGCTCTAGCAAGTCTCTATTGGGCATGTGCAAATTGTGATTTTTCAAATGCATGTAACTTGGCCAAATTTAGGCAGTTTTTGATAGGGTTGGCAAAAGGTACATCCCTGACACAAAGGCTACTCTCCTGCCAAATTTCAAGCTGTAAAGTATGGAGTGACACAGCTTCTCAAAGAAAAGGTCACCAGCATTTTTTAACATAGAAAAACAAGCATTTTCTCCTAGGTTCATTCAAAATTTTCAAAAAAAAAACCCCTAAAAAACTCTGAGCCTGAAGTAAATGTCCAGCATTGAAAATTTCAGCCCTAATGCTTAAAGTATGTCAAAGTTATAAGCAACTGAAAACAGTGTCCAATAATGGGAAGTAATTAGATATTGCTATCATCCCCACCTATAATAATTTAAAAACTTTGTACCTTGTCCATTCAAAATCCTCCCTTTTGAAGATTTGTTTATCTATCAGACTGGAAAGTATGTCCCTACAGTGGATGTACAGAGTAAGCAACGCCTCTAGTGTGGCTTGCTTGTGAAACTGAAGAATGTCAGATGCCATCTCTGCAAGCTGCTCTAGATGATGGACTAGTTCATCATGGATTCCTGTCAGTGCCATTTTTGGATCAGAACTCTGGAAACTTCTTGTACAATCCTTATTAAACATAATTTGGCTCTAAAAAAGGCAAATATTATTCTGGCAGCATTAACTACAGTTTCTATTTCTTTGACTTCAAAAGTACATGTTGCATAAACCCACAGATTGGTTTAATAACCTGGGGCCAGATTCTGACATCCTTACATTAACCAGTATTTTACTCCACAAATAACGGAGTAATGAAGATAAGTGCTGCTTATGATGAATAATGGTAGCAGAACCCCATGATTATTTGATATTTCCTTTCTGAACACAGAGAAAAAATAATATAATCTTTTCACAATGCATAGAAGATATTTTGTATCTTAACCTTCTCAAATGATCACGTTCTTCTGTATTCTACTTCAGGTAACGGACTCTGGAAATACTATGATTTTTTTCACATTCATAAATGTTATTTAAATGTAATTAGCATATAACTATTTTTTCTGTAAGCTTCTGTTACAGCCCTTAAAATTACCCTCCTCCCACTATTCCTCTATTTTAACCCTATTAAATTTGAGGCCCTCATGTCAAGATTACTATCCGTTCTCTTTTTTCCTTGACTGCTGGGCAATACAAAATGGTCCCACGCTCAGGCAACTTTTAAATTGCTCCAACCACCTCTGATAATCAGAGAACCAGAGTACAGAAGCAGGATTAAACCTGCAGAAATGGTTTATGTTAAAGAATCATGTTATCAACCAAGTAGTCAAGCATTTTGTACGGAAATTTAGAAATCTGCATTCATATAGCATTATTAGCATAGGATTTAGATATTTAAAGGCAGAGTTTCTCACTAAAACAGATATCCAAAATACAAGTGGCAATGGCATTTTTCAGGTTTGAATGAATTCTCAATGATACTTACCACAAGAAGTACCACCTGTCCTGGATGAGTCAGAAACCACTGTTTAAATTCCATTTGATTCCACTCTACCATTCCAATATTTACAAATCTACAACACATGTCATACCATTAAAATAAAAGTAGGTGATCACAGAAATACTATTAGTTAATTATTATGCTGCCCAGAAGCGACGTGTGGAGGAGGGCATGCAGGCTCCCACGCCTCCCCACCCCAGATTTGCTGCTTTGTTTGTAGTGAGTATGCTCAGTGACACTGCTGAAGCCGCTGCCCTCACTTTGCCCCCTCCCCCGCCATCAGCAGGCACGGGTCGTCTCTGATGCTGCCATATACTAAGGTTTTGTAGCAGACTTCATAATCACTAGCTAATATAGCAAGCATTTTGACAAACCAGACTTTGCTATTCTGGATATTTTTGGATGCTACAGCAGATCACCAAGGGCCCAAAGATGCAAAGTCTTCATCACCTTCAATGTCATATGAGGTGCTCAGAACCCTGCATTAAGTGCTTTGTATCTTGTAGAACAGGCCCTAAAAGAACTACCATGCCATATGCCAGCATTTTGTCCATAAAACAAATTGCAATATTTGTGCTTAACATCAGTTTCAAAAATGCCTCCTCCAAATAATGACAGCTCAGACTACAGAAACAAATCCCACTTCTGCTTCAGTGTCTCCTTACTGATGCCTTATCAGACTAATCCATTACCTAATGAAACTTTTACAAAAGACAAACCACTCCTCTTTCAAATAAAACCACTTCTCTGAGATTGAAGGCATCCATAGTAAAAGATGTATAAAATAAACGGGATTCCAAGAAATTTTAATTGCCATCACTAGTCCTTATAATGACTGTGACAGACATGAGACTTGGGAGGTGTGAGGACTTCAAAAGACTATTATATTGAAATGGACCAGAGAGGCATGGGCTTTTATGACAGTAAGACTTAAATGTGTTTTCAGGGTCCTGGCTTACTGGATGAATTTCCTGTGTAATTTCTACTTGTAGTTAATGTAAGCTCCCCAACATTGGTTATGCCAAAAATATCTGGCCTTTGAAGCTCTGCCCCAGAGACGAGGGGCACTGACTGGTGTTGCATGTTTCAGGAAGCCAGAGGGCAAAGACCCAAACCACGTGAAGACACAGCTGAGCTCTCCTAGGTAAGGGTACCAGGTCTGTCTTGGACAAGTAGGAGCAATCAGGATGACTTGGGCTCTGTCTCTTTATTTTCAGCAGGACTTTAAACAGTAAAGATAATGGTGAAAAGGTGTAGACAAGGTCCCTGTTCCAGGGATGAGGAGAGCATTGCCCAGGGAATATTGACTCATTCCCACTCTGGAGCACTAGCATGGATATTTCTTATTCAGGTGAGTGCCCAACAGGTCTGTGGACAATGTCCCCCATCATCTGAATCTGTCGTGAAGTACTGTTGAATGTTTCTCCCACTCGTGGTTGTATGGAAATTTGTGACTGAACTTTCCGCTATCGAGTTTTGTGTGCCTGGGAGGTAAGCTGCGGACAGTGTAATGTTGCGGGAGATGCACCAATTCCATAGCCTCACTGCTTCTGCGCATAGGGAGGGCGATCTAACTCCTGCCTGTAAATTGATGTAGTACATACAGGCTATGTTGTCTGTTAGGAATCTTTGTGTGTAATCCTGTGATCAGTGGGAGGAAATGGGCACAGGCATTTCTGACAGCTCTTAGCTTGAGGTGATTGATGTGAAGGGACATCTCCATTGGTGACCACTTGCCTTGCATCATGAGGCTATTCAGATGCATGCCCCACCCTATGAGTGATGCATTGGTGGTGAGGAGCAACGATGGCAAGGTTTGCGAGAAGGGGATCCCTTTGCAAACGTCAGCTGGGTCCTTCCACCAGTCTAAGGAGTTTTTGATTCTGGTGGGATTTGTCCAGTCTGTCGACCAAACTGAACTATATTTTTGGAGGTATCGCATGTGAAGCCTGGCATGTGGTATCACTGCCGTTCTTGCTGCCATGTGACCCAAGAGGTGGAGGCAGAGTCTAGCTGATATTTATAGGCTGTTCTGAATGGTCTCTATGAGCATGATTAAGCATAGGAACCTGCGTTGAAGCAAGAGGGCTCTGGCCTGTAACAAGTCAAGGTCAGCCCCTATGAATTCCAGGCATTGCCCTGGAGTGAGGGTTGACTTCTGGATGTTGATCTGTAGGCCCAGTTCTGTGAACAAGTGCATCATAGATTTGGTGACTTGGAGACAATCATCCAGGTACAAGTAGATCTTTTTCCCTTGGGAACTTAAGTAAGTGGCCACCACTAAGAGAACCTTGGAAAATACTCTTGGGGCCGTTGATAGCCTAAAGGGTAGCACTCTGTCCTGGTAGTGGTCGTGTCCCAGAGTGAATCTGAGAAATCATCTGTGAGTCAGTAGGACTGAGATACGGAAATAAGCATCCTGAAGGTTGACGGCCAAAATCCAGTCTCTCTGTTCCAACACTGAAACGATCATTGCTAAAGTGACCATCTTGAATTGTTGAGCCTTGACAAACTTGTTGAGAGCTCTGACATCTAGTAGAACCCTTTGCCTCGTAGCAGTTGAGGTGCTGGGTCTATGGTTCCTAACTGGAGGAAACAGTCTACTTCTTGTTGTAGTAAACTCTCGTGAGAAGGATCCCTGAAGAGGGATGGGGAAGGGTGTTGTGGAAGAGGGAGGGAGGTAAAATGGATGAAATACCTAGTTTCAACAAACTTTAGGACCCATTGGTCCATGTTAGGCATTCCCAGACACAGCCGAACACTGCCGATTGGTGGCCAAATGGATGTGAAACACTGGTCAGCTGTGTCACTCAGGGGGAGTGATCTAATGGCACTTCGATCCACCCATCAAAAATGGTGCTTGGATGTAGAGGGCTGAGACAAAGAAGATGGTGGGCCAAGTGGTTTGCACATAGGGAATTTCCCTTTCTTTCTTTGTGGCTCATAGTGGCATTGAGATTGAGATTGAGACATGTGTGATCGATGCTGGGATTGGGGACTAAATTGTCTCTTTTGTCCCAGTCTATAGATACACAGTGACCGGAGAGTAGCTCTGGAGTCCTTCAGGGTGTGATAGGAGACAGTTTTTTCAGCAAAAAGCTTTGTGCCATCAAAAGGAAGGTCCTCAACAATGGACTGTACCTCTTTCAAGAAGCTCAGACGGAGCCGTGGCAAAATTGCATCACCCTAGCCACTATGTCGGCCACATAGAGGGCAGATTGCAGCGATGTCTTTGCCCTAATTGGCCCTCCTGGATAATGGTCTTAAATTGGTCACAATGTGATTCTAGCATCTTTTCAATAAAGTCATTCAGTTTTAAGTAATTTATATAATCATATTCGCTATAAGGGCCTGGTAGTTGGCGATACAGAATTGGAGAGTGGCCAAAGAGTACGCTTTTCTAATGAAAAGATCTAGATGCTTCCAATCCCTATCACAGGGAATACCCTTGACTGGTGTTGTCAGCCATCGGAGTTAATGACATCCACCATGATGGAGTTGGGTGATGGGTGGGAGAACAGAAATTCAGATTCCTTGGCAGGGACATAGTACTTTTTGTCCGCCTGCTTGCAGGTAGGCGCCACTGGTGATGGGGTTTGCCACACGGTTTTTGCCGGGTCTAACATGACCTCGTTGATAGGGAGGGCAATCTTGGAGGATGAGGAAAGTGGAGAAGGAGTTGTACATGGGTGTCCTTGACTTCTTCCAATGGTATCCAGACAGTGTCTGCCACTCTCTTATCCAGCTCCTGGAAGAGGTGAAAGTCATCTGCCAAAAATGATGGGGGAGGCATGAAGACTTCGCCCGAAGAAGAGGAGGATACGGTCCTTGGTGTCACTTCTTCCTCAGTACTGGCCTCCTGTTCCTCTATGTCTTGTGGAGGTTCTGAAGCACTGGATGCTGTAGGCAAGGAGGTGTATCTTGATAGTTCTCAGGTGAGGCTTGAAGCCTGAGAGGCATGCTGGCAATGTGCCACCCAAGGTTCCCAATATGGCTACTGGGATGGTGGGGGCATACAGCCCAGTGGTGGAGCCCATGGGTGGCCGTATAAAGATGGTGGGGCCATCTGTGGGTATATCCTTCGGCTCTGTTAATAGTGAGCACCATATGGGGCTTGGGAGGAGTACTGCAACACTACCTCCTCTGGCTCACTGTATGAAGCGTCACTAGAGAGCGGAGGGGCAGGACATGGCAGTGTGGATACTTCCTGTGCTCAGTAAATGCTTGGTGCAGAGGTCCCAAGAGGTGAGGACTCAGATGCATCTAGCATGCTGAGGTCCCTGGAATGGTGGGATTCTGCTAGTACCAACCATCCCAGGGTCAGTGGCAGTGGAGATGGTCTTAGTGCTGACGGTGCCAAAGATACCAAGTGAAATGGAGATCGCTTACAGTTATCTCGGAGCTCACTGTGGGGACTTGATGCTCTCTTCTTAGATGATTTATGAAAAGGGTCTGCAGCTTGTTTCTTCGACCCACAGCCCTTAGATGTAGAGGGCTTGGGGAAGATTCACATCGGTCAGGTGATTCGGGCTGGAGAGCAACCTTCATGAAGGTGACCTTCCGGCAGATCTCTCTGTCCTTAAGGGATCTTGGCCGGAGTTGTTGGCAAAGACCACACTTCTACTGGATGTGACCTTTTCCAAGGCAGAGAATGCACTGAGAGTACTTGTCCACAACAGGGATTGCCTCTTTAAAGTGAGGCATTTTTTGAAGCCCGATGAACTGAGTATACCCCATTGGGATAAAGGAGGAGAAAAGAACAGGAAAGGAATTAAAGGGATTTTTAAGCGTCAAATAAGAAAGAAAATAACTACAACTAGAACTAGGAGACTAACTATAGGGGCTGGTCAGAGAGCTGCTTGTAACTGCAGCTGGGTGTGTCCCTACATATGCATGCTGGTGAAAGTGCAGGCTGGAGGGTTTTGTAGCTTGTCACAGCAGTACAGTGTGAGAGGGGGCCCAGGCTGGTGGGTCAGGGGGCTCAGTGGTACCCCAGTTGCAGGTGGCACCCAGGGGGAACCCATCACAGCCTCCTTTTTCTCTCTACTCTCCTGTTCTTCAAAGGTCTTCTCATGAAGGGGGTTTGATGGGGAGACTGTATAACCCTAGCCTTTTGGTGTAATGGAGGTGGAATTTGGCAAACTGCTGCCAATATGCTGCCCAAGGATCCTAGTATGATCACTCGGGAGAAAGGAAGGCCATATGGAAGAGAGGGTGGCACCCAGAAGTGATTCTACTGTTCCTGTTGTGGACACGGATCCTGTCAAAGTATAGCTTTCTGTCCCGATATGCACTGATAATATGAGACTGACTGAATATCTCCTTCATCCTCCTCAATATCTTCCAAAGCAGGGGGGCCCAGTACAAAAAGGCAGAGAATCTTGTAATACTGGGAAGCAATCGTAATCCGGAGACTGGGATCTTGGTACCAAGAGTTGTTTGGTATCTATGAACTGTGGGGACACCAGCTCATCTAAATCTGATAGGTCCCTGGAGTAGTGGTATTCCTGCGGTATGGAGTGGATCAGTACCAATGCAGCAGTTGAGGTGGATGGTACTGTTGATCTGGAGCAGGCACGTGCTGGGGCTTCAGGTGTCTGGTGCTTCAATTTTGTCAGAGGAAGAAGGCAATGATGGTAAGTCTGATGTATACGGTGCCATTTTACAGAAGTATATGTCCTGTGCATCCTGTCTTTCATTGTACATGGGCCTGCTGGAGCCATATTTTTCTGAAACACTCCAGGATCTCCTGGCTCTGCCGGTACTGTAGGAAGAGTTCATTGCTTCCATGGTACCAAGTTGAGAGGTCGAGGCCTCCAATACTGTAAATTTAGTGGGAGATTAGGGCCTTTTGGGAGCTGGCTCCTTGTGATGGGAGTCCAAGTTTCTCCTCTTTGGAGCTTTCCCTGAATCTTCTAAAGTCTTCCACCTCTTAAGGGAGATCTTGGCTGAGGTCAAAGGGATGCTACGTCTGTCCAGAGACAGATGTTCGGGGAGGGGCATGCTACCAATGGCTCCTGAGAATAAAGCTTATATAAGGAGAAAAGGATAATTCAGAATCAAACAAAACAGAGTAACACTTAAAGTGTACATGAAGTGGAAAGAGATGGGGTTTGTTGGGATTGAAAATTACACACCTAAACCATCTGCACGATTGTTTTTTTAAGAAGTGTTAGTACAATTTTGTTTGCTGTTTAATACATGATTAGACTATTAAGAACTCCCCCATCTTCAACTGGAATTGCACATAAAATATGCTCCAAGAGCAGTGAAATCATGCTCTGCTGTTTTGAAAGGACTAGTCTGGTTATCTCAAATGATTTCTGAGCACTTCTGCATGCCAATGCTACCAAACATAAGACTGAAATTCTGCACATTGTCAGTTTTCATTTAGCTCTAGATAAGAGTGTTTATGGTATGCAGTTGCTTGTTTTTTTTTTAAATAATTGTAAGTCCCTTGTTCAAGTGTAAACTCTTTGGGGGAAGAGACTATCTATCTCCTACTGTGTGTTTATACAGCACCTAGGTCAATGGGATCCCGATCATGATTGAAGCCTCTGGATGCTACCACAAATACAAATAAATATGCAACACAAATGACTATAATAGAGAATTTTTTATTCAGTGGGAAATATATACTTACTTTTTTACCATGTCAAACATGCTGCTCTCTACATTTCCTAGCCACTGCTCAACAGGGCCTCTAACACGAATAATCCTGTAATGTAGAATTTGAAAAGTCAGCACTTACTGAAAACAACTGAACATTTTAATTTCATATTCTTACAACTTTATTTGAATTGTAGGCATAAGGAGTTCTACTGCACCTCTTATTTCTCAATTCTACACACTTGAACTTAATCCAGAGTGTGAGCAAACACTTCCTCTTCTTTGGAATCACTGTCTTTCTTCAGGGGCTACAGACTCCTCAGGCCCTGATTCTGCAGCTCATTCATGTGCATAACTCCCAAAGAAATCAATGGACATTTTGTCTCCATGGGGATTGTAGGCTTAGACCCCTTGTATAATGCATGGAGGATCACATCCAGAAAAGAATGGTTACTTACCTTAAAGTAACTCTAGTTCTTTGCAACTTGTAGTTCATATGTATTCCACTCTTGGTGCACATGCACCCCCCCACCCACACACACACACAACATTGGATTATTTTGGCCAGTGGTATCCAGTGGGACCACATCTGCACCCCACAAGTTGGTTAATGCAACATTTATTGAAAGACAGTGTTATAAACCATGAATGTATGGTATGTTTTGACTTTTTTGATACTCCTTCCAAAACAGTGGCTTCAGACAAGCCCGCCTGGAGAGGTCAGTTTTTATTTCCACTGGCTGGCAGATGGGTACACAGACCATTCCCCCCAAGAGAGCTCTGGCCATCGGCATTTGCAAGAGAACCTCGTATACCAAACTGTGGTTCAAGGATCCAGGATGAGGATCATCTACCATGTGCTGGAGAGTAAAGATCAGCTGACAGCCACAGGCTGCCCAGGAATAGGATTGCAGCTTCAGGTGGCAAGTCAGTGACCCACATCCAAGGTTCTTCAGATGGTAGGGTAAGCTAGGGTGTGCTAACAAATTTTATATAGTAAAACCTAAAGGGCAGAAGGGCAAATCTCCAGTAAATTCAGCCCTGGGTCACACTACCAAGAAACATGGGACTCAAACTCCAGGGATGAGTAAGGAAAGTGACAGTCAAGCGATGGCTGGATCTGAACCTCTCTGAGGGGTCATGTACATTCTACAGAAGACCATGGACCTCACAATACAGGATTGGAAACACAATGGGAGTGGCTGTAAGGGTGGCTCATGGAATCATGGCAGGAGTAGCGCCAGCAATATACAAGCCAAAGGGACAGGATATACAGCTCCAGTTTGGGTTAGCAGAGTAGCTGACTCTCTGGCTTCTCTCATGGCTGAAAGGCTATGGACTATGCCTGGAGCAAGTAAGCTCACATCAGAGGTCATGTGCCCTCCAGAACTTTTAAATCCCCCCGCCCCATCAAGAGTTATGCATTATCTCTAGGCCTCATGCTCAGTTGGTTTGGTTGGAAATGCTTGCAAGACAAGTTTGGTGGGGGGTCATAAGTCAGCACACATCAACAGGGCACAAAAATTTGAATCATGAGGCAGCCAGGATAATTTTGCGACTTGGAGTGGGGGCACATAAGGATAGCTGATGCAATGGCCCTGAGCTCTTTAGGGAGGACGGAGGGCATCTGTCAGATACTGGGACCATCATTTGGCTCGGTGACTTTAGGAATTGGGTCAGTCAGGAGATAGATACCAGGCATGCTGCATGTCCAGTGACCAGTGTCCAGTGCAGGTAAAGGCTAAAGGGGCAAGCTCCTAAAGGTCAATGAGGTTCGGGATTGCACAACTTAACGATACACGTTGCACTCATGGGGGGGGGGGAGGGAAGGGGGGAAAGACTTTACTGATTCAGGTTCCCCCAATCCAGCCTTGTGGCCTCTGTCACTCCACCCCTTGTTACATGGTGGGGAGATGGTTCACAACTGAACTGAGTCTGTGGGGTAGCCCAGGGAGGGTCTACCCTGAGTTGTTTGGTTTGTGGTAGAAGCCTTGTAACCTGCACTGGAACCAATTAAATGTTTGGTATGTGAGAGCTAGGGCGGGCAATGTAGTGTCCCTCCCCAAGGTTTAATTAATAATGTTGCAGCAAACCATTTTTAACCCATCTCACCTATCTGTCGATCATTAGCCTGCTTGTCCTGGTCAAAGTGTTCTGAAGGCTGGGAAGGTGCAAAGCTGCTGGTGTGATTTGACTCAGAAAGCACCAGCTCCATAGCTGAATGGCCTCTTGCTTCCCCTTGTCTGTTGATATAATGCATAGCTGTGGTATAGTATGTCAGCACTTGGATTGTGCATCCCTAGAGTAGTGGTAGGAATGCCTGGCATGCCAAGTGAATGGCTCTGAGCGCTAGGATAATTATGTGGAGACAAGCTTCCAGAGGGGAACACAGGACCTGGATTTAAAGGTGATCTAGCTGAACTCCCCATCCCTGAATGGAGGGGTCTGGCATCAGAGACTTGAAAGGCAGAGGTGCAGAGAAGGGTACCCCACTGCACACTTTCCCCCACGAGTTTAACTAGGAGAGAACTTCTGGGACATGACCACTATGCCCGTTGGATATCTTCCTCATATATACACTGATTTCAAACACTCTTGTATGCAGTGTAGGTGAATTCTGGCTAACTGCATCACATAGGGCATGAGGCCATATGTCCCAAGAGTCTAAGTTGGTTACCATTTGGGATCTGGATCAGCCTGTTAGGTGAGGTATGGGCTGATCTGGATCCTTTGTCTCCTTAGATAACTTGTCATGACAGCGAAGCCTTTAGTGAACACTCTCAGTACCATGGAAAGATGAAAGGGCAGGACCCTGTACTGTAGTGAGATACTCCTACTAAGAATCTGAGGTATTTCTTGTGGGACACATCAATGGATATGTGAAAGTAGAATTCTTGCAGGTTGAGAACCACAAGTCAGCCTTGAGGATCTAATGAGGAAATTAAGGAGGCCAGAATCATCATCCTGAAGTTGAAATGACAGATTAATTTATTGTAACTTTAAAGTCCAGAATGGAACACCAACGTCCCTCCTTTCTTCTTTGGGATAAGAAAATAATGGGAATAAAACCCAATGCCCCTGAACTGTAAGGGCACTTCTTCCACAGCTCCCAGTTATAGAAAGAGTCTACTTCTTGAGATGGGGAGGGTGGGGGGAAGCATTAGGAAGGAAGTGGAATTGGATAGAATACCCCTTATTTAAAATTTTCAGGCTCCACTGGTACAACATGATCCAAGTTCAGGTTTTGTGAAATTGATGATGGATAAAACAGAGTAAAAGGAAGAGGATCCTTGGGAGTATCCATCAGATTCTCATTACTGGTGTCAAACCTGCTGGCTGGGGGAAAATGCAGAATGTGCAGCAGTAGAGGAAGAGGCAGAGGGTTGTCAGGGGAACCTCTACTTCTTTCTTGATGGCTCCAAGGTCCTTTGAGGCTAATAATAATAGTAAGAAGAGAAACATTGCAGGAAGGAAGTCTGTGGTCTTACTTGTTTTCTCCTTGGGACTGGAACATAGAAGCCACGAGAACACAGAGTTGCCCTACAGCCCTTTAAGAAATGGAGATCCTCACCCATATTTTAATTAAAAAGTTAAAGGGAAGGTCCTTCTTTGATGCTTGGACCTCCCTGTGAATCCCTAAAGATTGGAGCCAGGAAGGTCTTCCCATCATGGCCACTGATGTAGCGATAGCATGCATCACTGGGTCGGGGACACTGTGTGTAGCCCGTAAGGAAGTGTAGGTTATCAGCTCTTCTTCAGACATGCTGGGTATTTAGTTCATGTTGGTGTTTTTGTAGCAGTTTGTCCCAATTCAAATAATTTTTATTTGGACAGAAGAACTTGACATTTAGCTACACATATCTAGAGGCTGGCAGATGAATACAGTGTGTGTGTGTGTGTGTGTGTGTGTGTGTGTGTGTGTGTGTGTGAATAGATCCAATATCTTTGGGTCTCTCTCCCTAAGTATAGATTTAGGAGGCCCCTACTGCTTCAACCTATCTTGGATGGCAGCTACCACAAGCAACTGTGGTACTGGGTTGGAATAAAAGTACTCAGATCCCGTGGGAGGCACTTGGTACCTCTTGTCAGCTCACTTGGATATGATCAAAATGGACTCTGGAGTGTGCCACAGATCTTTCACAGGTTACATTTAGGGAACTGCTGAGCCTGCCAGGCATGGAAGGATGCAAAGTGTCCAGGAGTTTGTGAAGTTTGTCCTGAACCACTTACAGAGATATATCTGGAGTGTCTGCCATGAACTTGATCAGACTCTGGTGGAACAACTTTAAATTGTTGAATGAAGTTGAATGAATAAATCCAGGGATTTACTGTCTTGTCAGTAGAGGATGAGATTGCAATGGTGACACTAGAGACAAGTTGGTGCTTCCCCTTGCAAATTTTATTACTCACCACTTTTTTCCTCCTGCCTTTCCAGGATCTGAGCCTGCACTACCTGACCTGGTTGTGTTGGTTTATAATGACTATTTCAGAAGGGAGATCTAACCCTAGAGGAGGCCAATAATATAGGCTTGCATGAATATGGTTGCACCTCCCAGGACATCAGCCACAGCCAAGACTGATACCAAAATGGGTACTAATGTGGAAGACACACATAGGGCTCATTTACAGATCCCTCCCCAGACTCTCTTCCTGATTTACACTGAACTAATCAATGAGGGGAAGGCGGTGTGCAAGAAAGGAATCCCTACGATATCTCAAATGGAATGAAGAAAAAGGAGTACACTTCTTCCAAGTGTAAACAGAGTCAGGATAAGCTCTACCCTGACATCTGGTGGTGAATTATGGCGAGGATGGAAAAGAACTTCAGGGGCTGATCTTGTTTGCATAGGCACACCCACCCACCTAGCCTGGGACAACAACTGAAAGTGGTTACTTTGGCTGGTGTGGGATGCCCAGTTTCTCTGTTATTGGGGCAGGAAGAATAAAGTGTTGTTACCCTGATTCTGTGAATCAAGGCCAGTGGAACTGTTGTATGACAGCGGGACTCACCAGTAACTAAGTAGTACTCGCTAGACAAGGGGCATGGGTTACAAAACCCAGTGAATTGAGAGAGGTTGTGGACAGGTATGTGTACCTGATGGTATGGGC